CAAAATCTAAATTGTCAGGTTGTAGAGGTGCGTCTTGATGTTTTGCAACGAAAGTGAAGAAGTCAAAGCATTATTGAGTGCACCCGAGGACTATAATTTGAGCCCCGGGTATCTTTTTGCATCGCTGAATTTCTCGCCCCACGGCCATCCTCAGGATCAACCTGGACGCGAGTGTCAAGAACAATTTGGTCATATTGCGCAATGCCTTCATGCACATTCTGCATTATTTATAGATGTGCGGCATCCCTCCACGAATTAAATGCAATAATTATAGGAATTAATCACATGAAATTTCACCCTCCTCTCGAATGGTGGAAACACTGTTCGCAGGCTAGTTAACTCTCATTGGAAAGTGTGTCCCACAAACAGATGTTCTCCGTTCTCACAACTGACAGTTTTCCCCGAATGTGTAAGAATAGAGAGAGAGTCTTGAGTAAAGTGGGAAATGGTGAGGCTAATATCAGTGCCATTTGAGGCCAGGAGAGGGAGGACTAGGCCGGGAAATGGGAATTATCCGTTCCGACCCTACAATAATTACAATGCAACTCTTTCGTGGAGGTCATCCCAGGTAAATGATACACTATAATACAATCCGCATACGGTAGTAAAGTGGTATAATAGGGGGGCCCTTTTGGATTCACAGAGTTTCTCAGTTCTTATCCAGAGCATTTGATCGTCGAGAGTGACCGAAGCAATCTAACACTCAGGATTGTAAAGTCATTCATTTTTTTGTGTGACAGAAACCACAATTTAACTCTTTTTTTGAGGATTTTTGTATGGGGAAAGCCTTTCTCCAGATGTTACATGACCTACATTGTGCAATAATAATCAGGGAAATTGTAGAGGCATTTCTTACAATTAAATATTTACTGGCATTCAATACAATTTCTTGTATTATATGTCCGAATGCAGTTCATCGTATCATTTCCCGGCCGAAATTCGAATAAAAAGTTGCACAATAGCTCAGCTTTTATGGGCTATTGAGCGGTCGTCTCTCCGATATATTGATTTCCTTCACGTGCTGCGAAGGGGCGATTTTCCATTGAAGGCACCATTAAGTGGTCACTGTGCTGCCCGTCGTCTGGTCACATGGTGAAGGAAATGTTGGCGATATTTATCCGATGTTGTTGCATCTGTTTCTCTCGCACTCTCGCCCTTCTCCCGGGATCAGCCGCAATGATGCTGTTGGCTGTCCATTTGCCCAGAGCACCATCATCCGTCTGCCGGCGACCAGACAGGCGCACGCGGAGCGAAGGGAGACACTGGACCAGGCATGGGAGTTGTAATGCGTTTTTAAGCGGTCATCAATGTTGCCCGACCTTTTCCCCTGCGTCACCGTGAGAGTCCTGGCCAACGCCACATGGAAGTGCGCAGACTCTCGCCTTGGGAGCCCCGGCAAATGGGGCTGCTTTGGCGCAGAGATGCGAATTGTCCGATTCGGTGATTGCGATAATTACATATTATTGACCAACGCGAGATTGATGTGTTTTGTATATGCGAATGAGAGGCTTTTCGGCCGATTGTTTACATCTCTCACTACACTCAAGGTGCTTTTTTGGACATCTCACCTCTTGGACGTCGCAAATAGTCACAATTTCGACCACTAATTGTCTTACGATGCTGCCAACAGTGCCTGCATGAATGGTAGGAGCAATTTTGCCTAATAAAAAGTTTATGGGGTGTATTTTCCAGAAAAATTCCACGGAAAAATAATTATAGTAAATTGTACAGAATACTGTATTTTGTCTGCAAGAATGCGGAGTATTTTAGAGAGAGAGAAAAAAAAGAATCATTTCGCTAGCATTGCAGAATCCGTCTTTGTCTGGTGCAACAAACCAACAGAACGAAGAGTATTTGGTGCATCATTTCTTGATAGAGATACTTTACTCTCTGGATAGAACTCAACTAAGGAGTTAGAAAACAAGAAAATCATAATAAATAAGCTCAAAACATGAAACATAGCCTCGTTTTGTCTATGTACGATGTGAGTACTTGCACACCTCATGAACGATTGCAATTAAATCAAAATCCAGACCATGAAATTATTAAATAATTAATTTTTTCTTCAAATGTTAATTTACTATTTTTGTTACTCTTCTCCTCCGTCTTTTTTGCATCTCGCCACACAAACATCTCGCCCTTTCGCATGTATGACGGTGGCAATTATGTATTCATGATCGCGTTAAAATAAATTGTTGCACTTTGCATAATATTTTTGCTCACTTTCGACGCTGAAAATTCAGTTATTGAGCTGTTTGACAGGTGAGGCGACGTGATGGATTGTCGCGGACACTTCTTGGGCGCTCTAAGAGACGCCGAGGATTGATTTGACGACTGCCAAATGACAAATTTTTATTTATATGTCTTCCCCAGAGAGAACAAACACACTGTTTTTTTTTTCCAACCATCAAGCCTCAACCACTTATTTTTGCCGGGTGACTGTCATTAAAAAGAGACTCGTAATTATGTGTATTCTACGTTGGTGAGCACGTCCTCTGTGAGGAACAAAAATATTTTTTTAACACATGCAATTAAACCACTTTTTCCCGGGCGACATACATTTGCAATTAATATCCCCTGATAGATTGCCCACTGACTCTGGCCTTTTTATTCACACCACGTACCTCTGGCCGGGCCTGAGAATGTGATGGTTTTTCAATTGGAAATTAGCACAGAGAGCGCGGGAAAATGTTGAGAAAATCGATTCTCTCGGCCAGAGGAAAGCGCTCACATATTTTTGTGCCAAGGAGGGAATGCCTGGCGCCAAAAAGTGGGTTAGTGGAGGAAAATTCCTCTCTCTCTCTCTCTCTGGACAAAAAAAAATTAGGGGGTCTTTTCTCAGCCCAAGAGGTGGTATTTCTCATATTTCGGTTGGGCACCACATACCGACTAAATAATAAAATTGTAGGGGAGGCGCAAAAAGGCAAGCTCCGTGGCGCCCACAATGGTACCTCTTGGGTGAACCATCACCGCTGAGGATCGTAAACAAACAGCCACTTGACATGAGAATAAAACATCTCCGCCAAATGCTCACTGCAAAATTAATAAATTGAGCTAAAAATATGGACAAATTTCGCAACACACTCACGAGGCCACCAGACATTCTTCAGGAGGCCCCAAGTAACTCAGGTAGCGACGGGGGTTCTTATCTCCGGCACCCAGAAGGAAAGGCGAGAATGAGACGGCGGCAGTCTCCCCTTTTCGCACACATTTCACCCAGTCCACAAGACCGGGGGAATTGTAGAAAAATCTCCACTAGTGGCTATATGTAAATATTTGAAAGGGGATACAGTGATTTATAGAAGGGAATAAATTCATTTGTGGAAGAAATAATCATGCGGCTTTTTATCAACGCGACAGAATAAATCAATAGAGGATCTCTTCTTTTGTGAATTTAGACGCAATAAAGCAGAGATGCCTGGGTGAGGCAGTTCAAAAGGTTTGTACTGTGGTTTCTTAGGGAACTCAGTTAGTTAATGAACTTATCGACCCGAAATGCCTTAATTTCCTTTCATTGAGCACAATTTTAGGGAAAAAATAGGACTGATATGAACAAATATGGACTAGTCCAAAAATTGTGTTAAAACTTGGTTAAAATTCATTGTCGAGAGCTTTAAGGCTAGTGGAATAGAACGCTGAGTTTTCTTCAGCATGGAAACACTAAATAATGTCTAAAGAGCAAAGCTGACTTGAAGTCTTTGTACAAGCGCTCACGAGAGTTATCCAACCTTGTGTGTCCAATCTAGAGTGAAAAATAATTTCCTCGTCATATACTTGAGGATTCTTCGACCGACAATTTCCCACAGAGGAATTCTTCGAAAAGTCAAGTGAAAAGCATCTGGCAGATAGAAACGGCGCGGTGAGATAATTTGACCATGATATCTCTCTGGAGAAGAAGACTTTCAGCACTGGGGATTTTATTGTTTTATTCAGGCAACCAATTCAAATTATCAACAGAGTCAAATTCTGGCTTCTCTCAATTCTTCTTCATGCTTTTCTTTTTCAAACTCTTCCATGTTTATTGAACCGCAACCACGGCGTTTCGGTAGTCGCGAAGGGAGAACCGAAGAATGATTAGAAGTATCAAATATCAATCTCAGCTGGAGACCAACGAAATATTTTTACACATCATAGATTTATGTCGAATGTAGAAGGGAATTTATGTAAAGTGAACACCATTTAGCCATCTTTTCGAGATACAACTCATATTTTTGCTTTTCGCAGCGCACATATTTGGTCTTCTCTCGGGTTCAATATCTTCGCAAACATATATCTATAGCAGGTAAATTTGGAGAAAATAGTGTCGGAAAAATCCTTTTGTTGTTCAGTGCAAAGAAATTGGGGTTTCGTGGCAGGAATCAACATGTTCAGGTGCGTATGACATGAAAATAATCAATTTTTTCACCACATGTGAAGCCCGGGGCGCACTATTAGATTTCTTCAGTGGTAATCTCTTGACAGATATTCTCTCCGGACTCCAGGTAGAGATCACTCGTCTCCTGCTTCTATTCTCCCCAGCGAGGAGAAATGAGAGTGACGCCCGAGACAGATTTCACTCAAGATGAGATTGAATTTGTGAGTGACGCCTCCTGAAAAGAGATTTCTCTGGCATTTCCCGGTGAATTACACAATTCGGAACGGATTCAATGTGGCCAGGTCAAAGAACCAGCGCACCTCTTGATGGCCTTTTTTCACCATATGTCAGAAATTTTTGCCATTTGAGAAACACCCTTATCTAAAGCGGCACGGTTTTATTGGGGCTTTTTATGGTCTGAAAAAAAAATAAGTAAAGACGAAAGCAAAATTGTTCGGGACTAAATGAAATTTTGGGAAAAAGTTATGACTTTTCGTACATATTCATGAAGCCTGTCTAAAGTTTGGTTGTAATTTTCTTCTCTACACAGTAATCCGTTAGCGCCGAGCGACATTTAAATGCTCGTAAAAAGTGGCAGATTTTTATCTAACTTTTTGGGATTTCTGGCCTTACTGACTAGGCTCACCTCTTCCCGTTGCGTCTCCGTCGTTTCGTGGCGTACACCGTGCCGAGTTGACTCATTGCTAGTGCGCTCGAGTGTCCACCGCTGCCCGGAATAGCCAAGGAGCTCGTCACCCCAGCCAGCGCCGGAACCTTGGGATCATCCACCGTCTGATGGTGGAACAGGTGAGCACTTGTCGGCAGCGGCTCACCCGTTTCCACACATGGGAGCCCCGTTCTCGATGGCGCCTCGAAGCAACCCGCCACACCAATCCGATCCAGGTTCACGTCAGCAATAGGATGTCCACTCCTGGGATCACTTTTACTCTCTTTGTCTCACACTCTTGCGTGCCGGACTACAGCCCTTTCGAGTTCAAGGTGATGCTAGGCAAGAGAGAGAGGAGATTTATGGGATGGCCCAACGAAATGCGCATTTAAATCGCCTATTTGCTACTCTAATGGGGACTCCGCAGTGTGAATTTGCTATCTCGCGCGGTGGTTAATTCGGCAAAAAGCGACGTCTTCATTAAGGCAGAGTGTTGGGTGTTCCAGTATTTCAATGAGGTGTGTTCTTTATAAATTTTTATATATATAAAAAAAACGCACAACCGGTAGTTTCCGCCTACACCCACGGACAGTCCGGGCTGTATTTATTTAACAAATGTAATTGAACTCCATTAGCATTATATTGTATAATATTAGATTTGAAAATTAGGTGAGAATTGATTATGATATGCCTCAACCGCGTAGACACTCTCGTTGAATTCAATTAACGCACCAGCGCGGACTGTGGCCTATGGGCGCTGATTAGAGCCTTCGGGGGGCTGTGTGGGCTAATTGAAAAACAATTGGTGAGTGAACTTGGGACAATTTGCCGGCCAAAGTGATTAATTGATTGATCGAGAGCCGGGGTGGAGGGCGCAAGTTCGGTATCGTTTGCATATGCCCAGGCCCTTCTCCCATATAGACATTTACTTAATATGAGAATGACTGGCATGACAAATAATCTGTGAGTATTACTCAAGCCGTGAACGGTGTGTATACCGATACCGTCGTACCAAAGTGTCAAATAAATAATTTCGAGACACGCAAAGTGGAGTTACACTCGAAAAACTACACAACTTTCCATGTCCATTTCCAGAGCTTTTCGGACGATTGGGCGTTCGGGGGGATGCCTTCACCCCCTCGCGCAGGTTCTCGCAACTAAATAAACCCTCCTCCGCTTCTATAGACTTGTAATGAATAATTTGTAGGCGTTCGACGTGGGGGTGGACGGAACCCCCTTCTTGAGCTTGGCAAAAACTTTAAAACAGCCTGGCAAACTTTTGATCGCGCGCGCCCAGCATAAATCATGGGTGAAAATGGAGTGAAATCAATTTGAACAGGTGAAATGCCTATAATTATCAGCCACAAATGAAAGTGATCGAACTTGATGATTTCCACTAGACTCGCAATTTACACATTTTTCTTTCATGCCGCATGTTCACTCAACGCCCGAACTTGTATCAATAAATTATGAAAATTGACGTGGACAAGTGTCTCTTTCGGAACAGTGCACAATTTTTCACAGTGTTTTCCATGCAAGGGGAACTCATGCGACCACCGGTCGCAAATACTGCGATTTTGTATGCACGCTGACAAGCTGGCAGGTGCAATTTGACAAAATTGACAAACGACCACACGGCGCTTCGTGGTCGGACTCTAGTTTTCACGCCTATCTCAAGACTAATCAACATCTCAGCAAAGCTCTAAGCTCAGGATGTGTCCAGAAGCTCGCATCGAGGATGTTTGTCGCACTTCTCATTTGCCGGCGGAACTGAACTTGGCCTCCCCGGAACACCCAACACTGTGCTTTTTGGCCCAAAGAGGGGCCGCGAAAAGGGGGTCTAAGAAAGCAATTTACACTTGATTAATTTCCACCATAAATTTCTCGTCGGTACAAATTTGTTTATATGTTTATTCCGTTTATTCCACTGAGTATCTCACCAGCACTTTTCACCACACTCTGAGCAATACAAGGCAAAATACCTGGCGAAACTCTATACACAATTTTCTCAATGTATATTTTTTCCATTAATTTCTCCCAACACGACTTTTCAGCAGTTGCAATCACTCCTGTTCACACTTCCATGCTCAGTCATCACGAACAATGCCTCTCAGTTTCACCACAGAATCCATCGCAACACTTGGGCATGGGCCTCAGGATTGGCCACTACTCACATAGGCGCGGATGGGCCGCAGGACGATGATGCAGTCAGTTTAGCACTAATTAATTGGGTCTGAACTGGTACCGAGGTAACCCTGTGTGCGCCCTCTGCAAGTATTCGCTTTCAACTAAGACGTGCTGGCCGTGTCTCCGTGTGCAGCTTGCCATCACTGACCACCGAGGAACAGCTCAGGTGATACACGAGAGGGATGGTCTGTTGATTCGGCACTACTGCCTTTAGCGGTCGAGTCGTCAGGTGTGCAAGAGATGGAGGAATAATGCGCGAATGCGACGAAAACCGGAAACAGAATGAAAGGCAAGATCGACGGTGTTTGCTTTTGCCTTGGCGAGAAGAGGTGAAGCACACGCAGAGGCGGAGCCTACGAGTGAAACCACTAGAGTAGTTTCTTTGAGAGATAGGGACAGACCCGAAGTGTGGAAGCATTGTCTTCAGCGAGTCTCTCTTTCCCACATCTAATGTGTGCTTTTGATAAAACTAATTCTACGACTGAAAATTAAATTAATTTTCAAACTGTGGCCCACCTAAGATCATACTTAACCCGAGTTGCTATCTACGCTCCATCGGAAGCTCCTTTTTATCCCTACAAGACTAACAAGCGCCAATGCGAACTGATAAGGTGAACCTAAACAAACCGAGTCACGACTTATATATGTCTGTCTCTCTCAGTAACAATAAGAGTCGAATAAAGGATCCCATTCACATGATTGAGTGGAAGAGACTTGCTACATACATAGGTATGACACCAACACAGCGAAAACATCGAGAGCTCCTCCCATTTGGGCTACATAGTTGCAGATGCCCGCCGGTATATAAGTGCTATACATACAACCTTGAATTATGATAATACAAAGTTTTTACTGCAACTTGGATACGTGTATTAATAGTAATGCTATATTATCAGTACATATTTTAAAGGTTCTCCTCTAAATTACCCATAATTGCCCTTAGCTTTAGAAATATTCAAATTAGACTTGAAAATAAAATTAAGTGTCTCAAATGGGGTTTAATTCTCGGTCAGTACACTGAGGAAAATTGCATTGTAAAATAATTTAAAAAATATTTAAACATGTCTTCTTCACTTTTTGTTAATTACGCTGATGTTTCAACGAGAAACTAGAGAAGTTCCAATAAAAGTAGAGTGATTTGAATTTTCAATAACATGTTTTTGATTTCTTATAATTATTTTATGCCATTCTAAAAGAGAATTTTAAGATGCAGGATTTTTTCAAAAATAATTTGAGGATTATTTTAAAATTATTTTGTAAAAACAAGTTTTGGAAATAAAATGCACAATGAAATGTTTCGAGTGAAGCAATTGAAACAAAATTATCCTGTTCTAAGACGTGACAAGCGTCATTTGCGATAAATCAAATTTTTAGTAAAATAAAAATATTGCATTACATATAAAAGAAATTCTTGGAACAAGATTTTGTACTCTTTTTTATGAGAAAATCAAAGCACAAAAATTATTCTATGTAAAATGTGTGTTTAATATTTAGAATTTTATAGTAATTTTTCACGATGTTTCATTTCAATGGGAAATTCTAATTTCATTTCAAAATCTGTGATTATGGCAAGAACATTGATGCATCAAATCGCTTCGACGACATGATTTGCAACTCTTTAACTGATGCAATATTGCACAAGTCTGTGATTTTGCGCATTTGGACTCAAAGGTTTGAAGGCATGAATTATTAATATCTAATGACATGTGAGATGGTACTATTATCATGACAGTCTGATATTTTCACATTGCAGAAAATGGCTATTAGTCAGAAGGTATCAAAGCATTGCAAAAGAGACGTTTTGTTTTGTTGTGTCTTCGAAGACAGCGTATCTCTCTATTCACGGTGAAACTTGTTGAGATTTACAAAATGTAAACAGTAATTTGAGGTTTACGGAGTGTCACATTACATTTTTTATGAGACATGCAATATGTTCCTCAAGTGTGGCGCGTCTTCGGTGATCAGCAACCATCGGAGTTATGAGGGTACTTTATGGGGAGATTCACTTTTGCTTTCGCATCGACCCACCCGGATCGATCTGGGATTGACTTTGGCGGCAACGTGGGATTCTGCGGGGCCCCAAGAGAGGCTGATGATACCTCATGTCAACTGACAATTGATAATTGCCCACAGAGAATCACCGTCCCTCGCAGTTGAGGGCATTTTTTTCCTGAACCTCGGCGTTCGCCTTCTTTTTCTGCCGAGACTCTCCTTTTATCCGCACCAAATTCTTGTCACAACATTGACAAGCAAATTGCTGGTTTTTGTGTAAAACCTCACCAACGGACAGGTACCAATTTTGTTACTCTTATTTCATATCCATACACTCTCTATACATTATTATCTCTAATAACTCGCCACAGCCAGAGCCTCCATGGACAAAAACACTGGCCAGATAATGAGCCACAAACTTTCAGAATCAAATTATTTTAATTAGTATTAAAAATTTTCCTTCGAACATTTATGTAAGGCCTTCGTATCACTATTGCCAGAAGTCCAGAGAGGAAGGCAGCAAAATTTTTGTATATCTTTGATTGACAACCTCGACTTGAGGCTGTGCCTGAGAGGAAAATTGTATCTCGAGGTTGAATGGTAATTTTGAAGGTATTTCTCTCCTAGGCCAACATCTATGCAGGGCTGAGCAGGATAGTATTGAGCTTACGCGAAAGCCAAGTGAAGGTATGGGAAAGTGTATTAGGAAATTAACGTGGATATTACCCAAGAAGCAGCCTCAGCCGAAAGAGTAGGGAATGGTAAGGCAAATTGGCCAATCAGAGTTCCATGGAGGCACCGTTTTTGTGCCTGGGCCTCAGAAACGGTTTGGATTTAATAATATGATTTTGAGAAATTGTATGCAGCGGACAAAAAAAGATAATTTACGTCGATATATGATTGAAATTGAGAATGAGCGAGAGAGAGCGGCCAATGCAGGAGGATGTTGCGTGACCAGAAACCCGAAATATTCTATAATATTTTTGTTTTTCCTCCA